CAATCAGTTTTATGTCTGTCAGTCTTTCCTCTGTTTTCTTTCCGCCCTCTGATTTTTTGTAAGTTTTTTTGTGTGCCAAACAATCGGTGGTTCCTCGTTTGGAGTGCCTACTACACTCTTATGGGGGCCACTAATTTTGGGATGTCTATGCTACCTGTAGGTGATGGCGGATGCTCGTCGGAGTGACTCCCTGGCTCAGTGGGTGGTGGGAACCAACAATCTGTGGGGTTCAATCGTGATGTGAGTAGGTCATGTGCTGCTGTGCTCCGTGTTGGATATGTGGACAACCTCGTCTGCATTTCGTCGCTGCCCTGCTTCCTGTCACACTTGCTTCGCATGTGGTTCTTTGTAGGTTGATGTGTTCGATGTGTGGTGTGGHCGTGTTGTTGGTGTTGCCTTGAGCTTCGCTGCTGCACTGCTTTGCTACTCTTCTGCTGGTTGTGCCTTCCATGTTGGCTGCTTGCAGGCCTTGTTGGTTGGGTGCCTTGTTGTGGGTGCCTTGTGCTTCGTTCCACGGTTGCCGAGTTGCTGGTCTGTTCGCTCTGTCGTCCCTTGCAGTGTGGTGGCCTTGTTTGCGTTGCCTTGTGCTTCACTACACGTTTGCCGTGCTGCATGTCTTGCGTGCCATGTTGTTCCTTGCAGTCCTTTTTTGGCGTTGTGCAGCCGTGTTGCCTCCACTGTGTTGCCTGGTGCTCCACAGGGTTGCTGCCTGCTGCTATGTTCCGCATGAGGACAGCCTGCCTTCAACAAGGGTCAAAGGGTTCATGACCCAAACCATCAAATACGGAGATTTTGCAGATTGTCGAGGGTTCAACCTCCTGATGAGTTGGTGCAACTCCGACGAAACAATCTTTCATCATGTGTTTATCTTTTTTTTTCACTCTTTGCCTTGTTTATACTTGTATTTTTTTCGGGTGTTGTTTTTGCATTGTCGTCGTTTGTCTTGTTGCGGTTTCCCTCGCTGCCTTACTGTTTACTTGCCCATGTGTCTACCCCGTGCCTTTCACCCAGTGTGCTTTGTTCTTTTGTGTTGTTTGCCTGCCCACCCGCCTCCCCCATGCCCTCCAGCCTATATGCTTAGCTGATTGTGCTGTTTGCTTTGCAGCATGCTTTCCATCTGCCCACCTGCCTCCCCCTTGCCCCCCCGCCTTCGCCCTTTGTTGATGCTGCATGCCTTTTTCCCTCGATGATTTTTTTCTGCCTTGCCCTTGTTACTGCGTATTGTTTGTTTTAGTTGAAGACATAGTGCATTGGGGCTCCTGTCCTTGTGTCTTTTTAGGGAAGTCAGTGAGGTCCTGCATACCCAGTCGAATGGAATATTTGCTCGCATCAGGGTGTGATTTGTTCGATGCTGTGATGTCTGTGCTATTGACATTATTTATGTTGTGTCTTATATGGACGCGGCTCGCTGAATCGCAAGGTGCAGTGGACTCATCTCACCAAACAGACGCACACACACACACAAACATATGGACAAGTGAGGCAGTGAATATTTCCAGGTTCTAACCGAAGATTCATTCGATTTTGCTCATCCTGTCGATGGAAGTAGCCTGAGGGCAGCCGCAGGGTTGGAGAATTACCGGTTGGCTGGTGCGTTGCTCATCCTAT